GGTGCGCACAGTTATTTTCTTGCTGAGTCACCCAGTTCTCCACTGACTCACCATCTTCTTTCTCTGTAAACTCACCCTCTCTGTGGTAGGAAATATAATGCCCATCCCCACCTGAAGATGTCCATCCTCATTGCTGAGAACCTGCGAATGAGTTACCTTCTATATTTGAAAAGACTTTGCAAATGTGATTAAGATCACTGACCTTGAGATAGGTAGATTACCCTAGATTATTCAAGTGGACCCAGTCTTATCACCTGAGACCTTAAAGCAGAAAAACCTTTCCTGACTGTGGTCAAGATGTGACAACAGAAAAGATCAGAGAGATGGAACACTGTTGGCTTTGAAGACAGAGGATGGGTCCACAATCTGAGGAATGCAAGCAGCTTCTAGAGGCTGGAAAGGGAAATGGAGTGAATCCTCCCCCAAGTGTCCAGGAAAGAAGGCAGCACCACTGACACTTGTTTTAACCCAGTGAAATCCATGGAAGAACTCTGACCTACAAAACTATAACAGATTTGTGTTGCTTTAAGTTGCTAAATGTGTATAATGTGTTACAAGAATAGGAAACTAATATATCCTTAGGGGTCATGTTACTACTTGCTCACTTGTGTGGCCTTGATGTGTACTTCATCTGTGTGAGCCTTAGTTCTCTCTGTAAAATGCTTAATTTGGGCCATATGCTTGCAAAACCCCTCCCATTTTGACATTTTATGGCCCTAAAGGCTAGATGCCTTACTTTGCAACGTTTTTCTTTTCCTTCTAATGAGGCACTGTTTATTTATCTTTTGGATGATTATACCAAGGCAAGCCTATCTGAGATGCTGCAAGAAGCAACAGAACAGCCATGCACCTGGGTCAGGAGTGAGATTTCTTTCTCTTTGTCTGTCTGGCTCTTCTGGTCTGTCTTCATACTGACTTCTAAATTTCTTCTTCCTATGACTCCTCATAAACAGGAAAAAGGCATCTTAGCTGGTGAACAATTTATGAACCAAACTCTTGTGAACAGTAAATTCTGTCATTTTTCTTTCCACTAGCTTGCTCCTTGGAAGAAAAGCTATGATAAACCTAGACAGTGTTTTAAAAGGCAATGACATCACTTTGCTGACAAAGGTTCATATAGTCAAAGCTATGGTTTTTCCAGTGGTCATGGATGGATGTGAGAGATGGACCATAAAGAAGGCTGAGCACTAAAGAATTTATGTTTTCAAACTGTGGTATTGGAGAAGACAGTTGGACAGCAAGGAAATCAAACCAGTCAATCCTAAAGGAAATCAACTCTGAATATTCATTGGAAGGACCAATGCTGAAGTTCCAATACTTTGGTCACTTGATGCAAAGAGCCAACTCATTGGAAAAGACCCTGATGCTGGGAAAGATTGAGGGCAGGAGGAGAAGCGGGTGACAGAGGATGAGATGGTTGGATGGCATCATCAACTCAACAGACATGAGTTTGAGCAAACTCCAGGATATAGTATAGGATAGGGAAGCCTGGTGTGCTTCAGTCTATAGGGTTGCAAAGAATCAGACACGACTGAGTGACTGAACATCAACAAAGTGAACCTGTAGATATAATTAAAAAAAATTTTTTTTGTTATGTTGAAAATTGTTCTTTAAAGATAGGTACCAAGATTACATGTACAGTCAAAGGCAGCAGTATTGTAGCTGTGGTGAATGTTAACTCAGCCTTTAGGAAGATCTACCCACATTTTAGAGTTAAAAGAATGTCCTTAGCCTGATTTTTGTTAGGAGTAAGTATAATAAAATGCCTCTGTAATTAAAATACTTACAAACCCACTAGACATAACTGTTGTGAAGGGAAAAAATGGACTCTGAAATGGGATAAAAATAGAGCTTCATTTGGCCCTTTCACCCTCCTAGTGAGAAACCAATTCAGTTGCCACTTCATTAACTGTTCTGTGTTAAGAAAAGCTGAGCGGACCACAAAATAATAATGGCAATAGCACAGTGATAATGACGACTCTTGAAAGCATTTATCTAGCACATTGTTTTTTCAAAGCACTTCCTATTTAGATGTTTGAATCCCAAGTTCTCAGTATTTTCCTAAGACAGTGGGGGAGTTGGAGAAGGTGGGCATCATCCACTTGATTGGACAGATGAGGTACCCTTGTCCTACAGAGTCTAAATGAACCTCCTGTTGTTACAGTCAGAGCTGGCTTGGGCCTAGGGACACTGTCTAAATGGAGATCCAAGTCTACTATAGCTCATTCTTCCAGGCAGTTAGGTCACCCAAAGCAAGGTCAAACTCTGTCTCCAAAGACCTTACACTGCAAGCCTCAGGACACCAGAAACAGTTCTTTCTTTTCTTTCAGCAGAAAGAATAAATTCACTAAAATTTAAAGTTAGCTGGGAAAAGGTCAAAGAGTTGAATGCATGAGAACGAAAACCATAAGAAACCTAGAAACGGATTCCAGTCTGTCACCTGCCTCGCTGCGGTTGGTGATGCTGGCCAGTCATGTGCTCAGAGTGGAGGCAAAGTGCCCTCTCTGCCTCATCCCTGGCTCTACTCGGGTGGCTCGGAGCAACGGCCAGGAGCCTTGCACACCAGGGCCTCTATAAAACAACATCACCAACGCCATTGCTACTGGCTCCTACCCCCATGCCCCAGCCCAGGTGCAATTAGACTGGCCAACCTTGAAGGAGGCAAGACAGCCTGAGACCAGAGGCACAAAAGGGAAAAACCCCCAAAGGCATCCCCGATTCATCTGAGCAATGAGGGGTCGGACTAGGTCTCCTCAATAATTCCGTTCTTTCAACAAGATCTCATGTTTCGTTTGGTCTAGTAGTATAAATTGGATCTAAAAGATCTGGGTTCGAGAGCCAACTGGTGTCTCTGGGCTATAATATGATCTTCATCATTATCAGTTATTCTCCATGAGGCTCAGAGCAACGGCCAGGAGCCTTGCACACCAGGGCCTCTATAAAACAACATCACCAACGCCATTGCTACTGGCTCCTACCCCCATGCCCCAGCCCAGGTGCAATTAGACTGGCCAACCTTGAAGGAGGCAAGACAGCCTGAGACCAGAGGCACAAAAGGGAAAAAGCCCCAAAGGCATCCCCGATTCATCTGAGCAATGAGGGGTCGGACTAGGTCTCCTCAATGATTCCGTTCTTTCAACAAGATCTCATGTTTCGTTTGGTCTAGTAGTATAAATTGGATCTAAAAGATCTGGGTTCGAGAGCCAACTGGTGTCTCTGGGCTATAATATGATCTTCATCATTATCAGTTATTCTCCATGAGGCTCGGTTCTCTTGCCCATGAAATGGATGGTAATATTAAGTCTCCTTTCCTATAGCTTTATCAGTTGTCACGGGAGAGACATGTTAGGACTTTATTGCTGGTTGTAGTGCTCTCATTGCAAGTGTAGCCTGATAGTAACCACAGCATCACAAGTTTGGGCAGTTGCGGTAGTGCTGGGAAGGCACTTCTGAGATTATTCATCGTGTGGGGATACTTGTTGGAGAAGTGACTGGTGTTGAGAAAATGTGTACTGTGACCTTTCTTGAATTAATTCCTTGGGGCTTTACAACAATCCTAAGAGGCAGGTACTGTTATTGTCACTTTATACAACAAGAAACGAAGACGAGAAACTAAGAGGGAGATCGCTGTGGTTTTAAATCTGTTATCTTGAGCCTGCAGTGGCTTCTGCAGTCTTCCAGCCTTGGCAGGCACACCTAGCACTTCGACAACCTTGACTCCTTAGAGCCTCGTACGGTGGCTTGTTGCCTTCATCATGAGAAGGAAGTATGGTTGGTATGAGAAGTTCCTTCATATAAGGAGCAATGATCCACTATTCAAAGAGTCATTGATATGTCTGCTAATCCCTGCCCTGTGATAGATGCATGTGTGTCTACTAAGAACTTCCTCACCAAGAACTTGCTAGCACTATTTTTTCCTGACAGCGCCCATGTTGTGCATTCTCCCACCACAGGGTGAAGTTTCAGGGAGGTGACTGTCAGTCAGGGACTAACCCAAGGCCTCTCTCATCAAGGTGGCGCCCGTGTGGCTGGTTCTCACCAGTGGGATGTGATATGTGTTCAGGTGGGTAGGAAGTGAGTGTGCCATTCTTACTTCCTTCTTCCTTGTCAACAAGGTAGATGCAGAAGGTCCAGCATAAACCTCAGAGACCCTAGATGACAGTGAAGCTGCAAGATAGGAGGCATCTGGGTTTCTGAATCACTGCTTTGACAAACCCTCATTTGGACCTTATGTGAGAGACATCTATTAAAGCACCAAGATTTGAGTGTTATCTGTAATATTAGCCATTGTACTATGTATATCCTAGTGAAAAGAGGTCCACCAGTACCTGGACCCAATCCTCTGCCATATTGGGAATCATTGACTTCCTTCCCTGTGGATACCATATCAGCCATCCTATATATAGTTGCAGAGCATCTGATCTGCTTGTCAAACAACCAATAAATCTATGTTTGACAAAGCAGTAGTTTTTATCAGTAAGTGACCCTAAGATAACATTTGCATTGCTGAAACATCATTCCAACACTGAACCAATGGCATCCCAACTCCAGCCCTCCTGATGACAATGAGAGGAAAACTAATGAAGTGTGATGACTATTAATGACATCTTCTCACCCTTCCCCTTTCCTTTTCCAAACTTGCAAATATGTTCAGCAATGTCAGATATGTTCATCTATTTTTGACATGTATGTAGAATCTATCCCTCTGGAATTTTGTGGAGAGGAGGAATGCCTCATGATCATACTAACTTGTATCTAGAAGCAACCAGAATTGAGCTGCTAAGACACTGGCTCAGGGGAAGACGATCTTCACAGGACCCAGCTCTCTTGGGTCAGTCACAGCTCTCATTGGCCCTTAATAACCTCAGAGGTGAAAAATAATTTTAGTTTTTCATGGTGGCATTGTGGGTGGTAACAGCTGTTTTAGAAGACACAGATGCACCAACATGTTCTAGAACACACAGTTACCTTGGTCACGGTGCTCAGTGGGGTCTGTAGAGAATCTTGTGAACTTCTATTTAGTTGACTTCAAGCAGTATGCAGGAAACAGGTCTGTAAAGAAAGACAATGGAGGTCAGAATCAAGGAGCCTAAAGAATTCAAATCACTTTGCTTTTTAATATACTACATTTACTTTTTAAAAAATTTATAAGCAATACATGGTCATTTTAGGGAAAAAATAGACAATACACATTAGAAAATAAGATATAAAACTCATCTGTGATCCCACTGTTCGGATATAACTGCTTTTAACCCATAGAGCTCCTATAGGTAGTTTCATGAATATATATATATATATATATGGATATATATTTATCCGCTATTATAATACTTCAGTTATAAAACTGAGGTCATACTGTACATACTTTTTGTTCATTGACTAAGATATGATGAGCATCTTTTGCCAATAATTAAACTTCAACTCCGTGGTAGACAGTTCCTAAGAGGGTTCCCAATGAACCCTGCCCTCTGCACCCTCACTTAATGTGTGACGCACTCCCCTGGAGTGTGGGTTAGACTTCTGACTTACTTCTAACCAGTGATGGGATGTCAATTCTTGGACAAGGTTGCAAAAACTGACTGCTGTCCTGCACATTTTCTCCTGCTCTCTGACTTGTTTACTGGGAGGAAACCATCTGTGACACTGTGAACCACCCTGCAGAAAGGGTGATAGTGGAACTGGGGTGAGGAACTGGGGGTGACCTTCAATCAACATTCCCAGAGAAATTGGTTACTGCTGACACCCACTGGACTGAGCCTCCAAGTGGATCCTCTCCAAATGAAGCCTTGAGGTTATTCAAACACTTTGACCGTAGTCTTAGGAGAGGCCCTGAGTCAGAGGACCCAGTTCAGCTGTGTTCACAGACTCCTGACACACAACTGTGAGATAATATGTTTGCTGTTTAAAGTTGCTAAGTGTTGGGGTAATACAACCATAGATAACTAATATAAACCACATAGTTTTTAGTAGTTGTTTAGTATTCTAGTGTAAAGTTTACTTAATCTTTATTGCAGCACATTTGGTTATTTTATTTTATTTATTTTGCTATTATAAATGAGTCCACAATGAGTGTCATCATAGCTAAATCTTGGTATACACCATTCTTCCCTGAGGATAAGTTCCTTGAAGTGGAATAGCTGGATTTCAAAGGACTTGCATCTTTTAAAGTTTTTAAGATGCTATTCCCAATTGCTTGCTGGTAGGATTGTACCCATTTATGCTCCTACTGGCTGTAGCTTGAAGTCGCTGCTGGCCCATACCAAACGATTTATGTTTCTGAAGCATATTTTTAGTTAATTTCAACCACTGTGTCTTGAGCTATGTCTCTACGGGAACCCGCTGGAAACAAAACCAAAACCAAATTAAAAAACCCAAGAATGAAGACTGAGATTGAATATTCAAAACAACTAGATAATTTGATCCTAAACAGTTTATTCAAAGTACCATTGATTTGAAATCACTCAGATAAATTCAACCATCCTCAAATAGTTATTCTTATTTTTCAGTGAGCTCTGAAGTTCTGAAAATGTAATAATGCTCATCTTCCCAAGAACTTTGAGACAGAAACAATACTGGTTGAAGTCAATGTAATGATGGGCTACTTTGAAAATCTTAGTTTACTTCAGTCACACAAACGGTTGTCAGTAAACTCAACTTTTTAAGTTACCACAGTAGATGGACTGAATTCAAAAGGCATATTTTTTTGGAATCATTTGCATGCATATATACCACCACTGTTTCCAAATTGCAACTTCACTGTTGGGGGAGAATAAATATTTTAATGAATGCTATATATTTTAAGAGGCTCTGAACCCTGTGGTTGGTTTAAGCTAAGGGTGCAATTTCAGTCATCTAAATAAGTAAATAAATGAGGAAGAAAATCCATGTTAATTGCGGTAATTTGCGGTACTTTCAAATTCTTAATTAAGAAATAAAATAGGATTCATTATCCATGCCCACTGTAGATGGCATGCATAGATCACCATTATGACCAAACACAAGACCTAAAGTTATTGCCATAAATGAAATAACAGAGGGAAACCACTGGTGCATGTTTGATGGAAGTGTGTAAGTACAAAGAGGAAAGAGAGAGCACTACACAAAATGCTGCCTTCCATACCTGCCCATAAGTCTGACCTGGGGCTTGCGTTATCCCACAGCATCTCCCCTAAACCTGGAGTCCTCTCTTTCCCGCCTACCTCTGGAATATGTTCTTCCTTCAGCCTCACACAGAACTTCTCTGAGCCTGTATGGCAGACCTGCTAGTGTCAACTTTCCCCCAGTTAACTGCCCCAGACTGTTTGTGTGCCTAGACTTCAGGTCCCTGCCTGGCTCATTCTACAAAGGTGGGAAGAAGAGAAGAACTTTCCTTGTACCTGGAGGCATTCTGACTCATGCTGCCTATTGATAATTAAGCATTAAATTAAACCAAGGAGAATATATAGTTTATCACACAGAAATCACTTTTATCTGACACAAATATGCAGTTGGACAGGACACCAGCCATCAACTGGGACTGTTCAGACAAACCAGGATGCTCGGTGTTTGCAATGAAGACATACCCCAAGTGTAGGATGGGGGTGGACATAGGTTTTCAGGCAGGTAAAAGGGAGTTCTTCTTTGGTGATGTGGGTTGTAGGGGCAGTATTAATAGACTCTTGAAAAAAGAGCATTGGTACACTTAGCTGTGGGAAGAGATGGCTGGTCATGTGTTTCTGTTAGGAATACTAATATAGACTGTGGGTATGCCTCTTTCAGATCCTCTGTCTCCTGCTGCCTACTCATCTTCATCCTGAACGCTGGCGTGGACACTCCATAGGCAGTTGACATGACTGTTGACTCTATAGCTCAACAACTGCAGTCAGCTTAGCAGTGGGAAGGGTGCAGAGCAGGAGCAAATTGGAGGAGTTTGAATGACTCAAGACATAAGATGAAAAGAAAGGGAAATATCCAATGAAGATCTCTGAAAGGAAGGAGGCATGTTGTCAGGGACTAAACACTGAAGTATTTTGAGAAAGTAAGACAGTTTGGGGTTTTACCCGTAGACCCAAGGAAAATCAGAAATTAGATTGGGAGCTTGGATTGACATGTACACACTGCTTTATTTAAAATAGATAACCAACAAGGGCATACTGTCTAGTGCAGGGAACTTGACTCAATACTCTATAATAACCTAAGTGGGGAAAAGAATTTGAAAAAGAACAGATACATGTATATGCATAACTGAATCACTTTACTGTACGCCTGAAATTAACACAACTAACACCTGAATACAGTTAATCAGCTATATTCCAATATAAAACAAAAATTAAAAAGAAAATTAACACATAGATTTCCCAAATGCCTACTATATTCCAGACACGCAGACATAAGAAAAGTCTAAAACAGACCTTTTTATTCAAAGGGGACTTAGGAAGTAGATTCATTCATAGTCAACATCTCCTCTTTTCTGGAAGGAAAGTCAGAGAAAAACCTGGACTCAGGTAGCTCTAATCGCTGAACCAGTCTGTCTTTTCTCGAATCTCACCAATGCTGATGACCCCCATGCAATTCACCAGGGCTGAATGAGTGATCGTATCTCATAATATTTCATTTCTCAAAGCCTCCTTCCTCCCTGGCTGCATCTGGATGGAGACTAGGCCATTGCAGGACTTAAGGGCCCGCTGCTGTGGGAAATGTGATTATCCCCCATTCTTTACCAAATGGAATCATTATACTTTTAGTTTTCTGATGATTTATGGTAAAAAAAGATACGGAGTTTTTCTAATTTCAGAAGTAAGCCATGGAGAAACAAATTCAAAATGTATCCATAATAACTGAGGCTAGTTATCAGACTAGAAAGAAAAAAAAAAAACACTATGTAAAGTGTCCTATAGAATTTATTGTTTAATTGTGCTAGGTACTCTGACTTTGCTTAGTAGTGAGAACAGTATGCTAAGAAGATGTAATGAAAGATTGTTAAAAGTGAGCAGGAGGTTTCTGAACTATGAGAAACACTCTGGGAAATGTGCCTTGTTATGCTGTTTTGAGAACGAACCAGGAGAATTAGTCATTGAAATTCTTTTGAAGAGAGACCTTAAATGCAGTTGTGTCTCAACAATTACATTTGAGACTAGTCATTCTTTTATTTGCTCATTTCACTTAACAAGGCTTTATGGAGGGAGCATCTTCATTTCCCCAGGTACAGTATCGGGTGCTGAAGAATCAAGGGGAACAAGACAGGGATGTACAATCTTATAGGGACTTTTACTCTGAAGATGGCAGTGTTAAGGCATCCCTGTCCACTTCATTCTTAATTCATTCCAAAACAAAAGAAGAAGGAAAAATAGAAATGCAAATTTCATTTTGTTGAGGAAGGGCTGCCAAATAAAATTCCAAGCTGGGGCAAGTGGATGTTGAAAGATGTCTGTTACCAAAGACCTTAATTAAAGAGGTTGGCAGAGCAAAATTTCATCCAACAGGGCAGAACCAACATCATCTTTTGAGGAGCAACTGGTCTACAATGAGTAGGCTTTCTACAAAAGCATCCCTGGACCCTGTGTCTCCACTGAGAAGCAAGGGAGGAGTTATAAACAAGAAAACACCTAGGTATGGCATTTCTGTACAAAAGAGTCTGCTGGGAAAGCATATTGTAGAAGATAGGCTCAACAATTAACAGCCTTGCAGCTGTCAATCTGTTAGTTCTTTTGGAAAGACGTAAAGGCTAAGTCAACACATACACATATACATATACACAACCCTCTGTATCATAAGGTGTATCATCCATGTAAATAAAAGAGACTCTCTGCTAGATTCTTGAATTCTTCCAGTATTCTTGCCTGGAAAATCCCATGGATGGAGGAACCTGATAGGCTACAGTCCATGGGGTTGCAAAGAGTCGGACAGAACTGAGTGAGTTCACTTTCTTTGCTAGATGGTACCATAGCCTAGTCCCTGCCCCATAAACTTTATGCAAAACAGCTGGTTAAGAAAGAGCTCATCTCAGTCAAATGTGGGTCAGAATAGAAAATAAACCACCAGAAGAGCTCTACAAAGATACAAGAAGGTAACAATTAGAGAAAACAAATAGACAAAGAAAACATACAAAATTGTGTTGCCATAGAGCTAAAGGAAATTGTGGCAAACAAATGAGCATAAGCAAACAATCAAAACAATTTTTCAAAAAAATCCTCAATGAAAAATATCACTTATATAAAATAAGAGCCCAAGGAAGAAGTGTCAAGACAATTGCAGGACAAAAAATGAACTAAAAGAGCTCAGGAAAGAAGTGAAAGAGAAACATAAAGTCATCACAAAAATTAGGGAGCCAGCAAAAAGGTAAAGAGACACTACTCAAAATACAAAAGTAGGCTTAAGAACGTGATTGACAAAGTTAGCAAAACAAAATGGAAATGCATAGTTAAAAAGGATCATAAAGGAACCTGATAGCTATGGAAGATGAAAGAGACAATAGACCTATTTGTATGCATAAATGGACCAAACATTACTTGTTTGATATAAGTGATCATCTGAATGAAGTAAATGTAATATAGAAAATATATTTAGAGAAATAGAATCACAAAACATTTTCCAGAAATAAGATATTTAAATCTACACACAATCAAAACCAAACCAAGCCAAACTAAACAAGCCAAACAAAACCCCAAATGTAAACTATCTCAGGAAAAGTTGATATAAAAATAATAGCATAAAAGGAAAAGGCTCTTTCACCATCCAAACAAAGAACTAAAACCAACAAAACAGAGCAAAACCCAAACCAAAATTTCTCTCCTAAGAGGGGGAAATTAGGTTGGTTTCAGAGTTTTTCACAGCAACATGTCATGCTAGAGACAGTGGAACATGCTTATGATAACCTCATTAAGAATTAAATAAAAAACATGAAAAAAGCCTATGGTCAAACTTCTGTTCAAATACAAATGCTGCACCAAACATCTAATAACCTAGAAAATGTGGTTACCAGGATCTTGTCTGGAGTAAACTTCAAGATGAACTTTAACCAAGTAGTAGTGGAACAATGGAAAAAACTACAGTCCTTGTGCCGTAGTTTTTAACAATTAAGGATTAAGAAAAAACCCTGTGGCAATTATGATTACATAAAATCATGTAAATTTTAAGGAACTCTACTACCATGAAAAACATGGAAACTAACAAAATTCAGAAGGTGAGGGGAGTTATAAGTTGGGAGGTAACTCAGGGCCAAAAGTTAACACTTAGGGCTAATGAATCAAATAAAAAAACTGCATTTAAAATTATGAGATATTAGATTAGCAGGACTAACATCATCATCAACATCATTATCACCATCATCAACTAAAATTGAGTAGAATAGAAAAAATGAGAAGTGGGAGAAATAAGTAAGTTTCATCATCTTGCAGAGGTGACAGATAATAGCTATGAAGAACATATATGATTAAGGATATTATATTTAGTATTATAAAGTTAAAATCTCTCAGTTGTGTCCAACTCTTTATGACCCCATGGACTTATACAGTGCATGGAATTCTCCAGGCCAGAATACTGGAGTGGGTAAACTTTCCCTTCTCCAGGGGATCCTGCCAACCCAGGGATCGAACCCAGGTCTCCTGCATTGATTCTTGACCAGCTGAGCCCCAAGGGAAACCCATTATGATTACATAAAATCATGTAAATTTTAAGGAACTCTACTACCATGAAAAACATGGAAACTAACAAAATTCAGAAGGTGAGGGGAGTTATAAGTTGGGAGGTAACTCAGGGCCAAAAGTTAACACTTAGGGCTAATGAATCAAATAAAAAAACTGTATTTAAAATTATGAGATATTAGATTAGCAGGACTAACATCATCATAAACATCATTATCACCATCATCAACTAAAATTGAGTAGAATAGAAAAAATGAGAAGTAGGAGAAATAAGTAAGTTTCATCATCTTGCAGAGGTGACAGATAATAGCTATGAAGAACATATATGATTAAGGATATTATATTTAGTATTATAAAGTTAAAATCTCTCAGTTGTGTCCAACTCTTTATGACCCCATGGACTTATACAGTGCATGGAATTCTCCAGGCCAGAATACTGGAGTGGGTAAACTTTCCCTTCTCCAGGGGATCCTGCCAACCCAGGGATCGAACCCAGGTCTCCTGCATTGATACTTGACCAGCTGAGCCCCAAGGGAAACCCAGTATTATAAAGATAACCACTTAAATAATGAAAAATGTTAAGACTTTTTGTCTATAACTATAAACCTACATATAAATCAAATTTTAAAACAAAGCAAAACATAGACCATAAGGGAAATAAAAGCAGAAAGCATATAATGTTACAACTAAGTCCAAGCCACTTATCAAATAAAAAATATAAAATAAAAATGTATCAATCCAAAGAAATAGATTTTTAAATTGCAAAGCAAAAAGAAAACTGTATGTATGATGTTAGCTATGGGTTTGTTGTAAATGGCCTTTATTATGATGAGATATGTTGCCATATACCATATTGATGAGAATTTTTATCACGAACAGATGTTGAATTTTGTCAAATACTTTTTGTCTATTGAGATGATCGTGTGATTTTTATCCTTCTTTTTGTCAATATGGTGTATCACATTGATTTGTGAATATTGAACTATCTTATCCCTGGTATAAATCCAACTTGATCATGATGTATGATCCTTTTTATATATTGTTGGATTCAGTTTGTTAATATTTTGCTGAGGATTTTTAATCTATATTCAACAAAGATATTGATTTGTGGATTTTTTTGGTAGTGGTTTTGTCTAATTTGGTATTAAGGTGATGGTAGCCTCACAGAATAAATTTGGGAGTGTTCCATCCTTTTCAATTTTTTTGGAATAGTTTGAGGAAAAATAGGTATTAACTCTTTTTTATATGTTTGGTAGAATTCCTCTGTGAATCCAGCTGGTATTGGACTTTTGTTTGCTGAGATTTTAAAAAAATATATAAATTGAATTTTGATACTACTGATTTGTCTGTTAAAATTGTCTCATACTTCTTGATTTAATCTTGGCAGACTGTATGTTTCTAGAAATTTGTCCATTTTTTTGTCTGTTGTCCACTTTGTTGGCATAAAACTGTTCGTAGTATTCTGTTATGATTTTTTATTGTTATATCTCTACTATTATTTCTTATTTTATTTATTTGGGTCCTTTCCTCTCTCTTTTCTTCTTAGAGAAGCTGGCTAAAGGATTTTTTTTTAATCAATTTTATCTTTTCAGCTCAGGTTTCATTGATCTTTTCTGTTTTTTTCTCTATTTCCTCTCTGATTATTATTTCCTTCCTTCTGCTGACTTTGGGCTTTGCCTTTTTTTTTTTTTTGTAATTTCCTCAGGTGGTAGGTTAGGTTGTTTATTTGAGATTTTTCTTCTTCCTGAGGACGGCCTTTATCACTATAAATATCTGTCTTAGAACTGCTTTTGCTGTATCCTATGGCAAAGACACTGAAGTTGAATGGTTCTATGAAGACCTACAAGACCTTTAAGAACTAACACCCAAAAAAGATGTCCTTTTCACCATAGGGACTGGAATGCAAAAGTAGGAAGTCAAGAGATACCTGGAGTAACAGGCAAGTTTGGCCTTGGAGTACAAAACGAAGCAGGGCAAAGGCTAAGAGNTCATGACCCAGATGATCATGATGGTGTGATCACTCACCTAGTGCCAGACATCTTGCAATGCAAAGTCAAGTGGGCCTTAGGAAGCATCACTACAAACAAAGCTAGTGGAGGTGATGGAATTTCAGTTGAGCTATTTCAAACCCTAAAAGATGATGCTGTTAAAGTGCCTCACTCAATATGCCAGCCAATCTGGAAAACTCAGCAGTGGCCACAGGACAGGAAAAGGTCAGTTTTCATTCCAATCCCAAAGAAAGGCAATGCTAAAGGATGTTCAGACTATTGCACAAATGCACTCATCTCACATGCTAGTAAAGTAATGCTCAAAATTCTCCAAGCTAGGCTTCAACAGTATGTGAACTGAGAACTTCTAGATGTTCAAGCTGGATTTTTAAAAACCAGAGGAACCAGAAATCAAATTGGCAACATTGAATATATTCTACCACTTCCTCCTGGCCTGTGATGTTTCTGCAGAGAAATCAGCTGATAGTCTTATGTGAATTTCCTTTTATGTAACTCTTTATTATTTTTTTTTCTTGATGATTTCAGAATTCTTTTTCTTTAACACATTTTAATTATGATGTGTCTTGGTGTGAGTCTGTTTGAGTTCACCTTTTTTGGGACCCTCTATGCTTCCTGTACCTGGATATCTGTTTCCTTCTTCAGGTTTGGAAAGTTTTAAGCCATTATTTCTACAAATACATTTTTGATCCCTCTCTCTCTCTCTCTCTCTCTTCCTCCTGGGACCCATGTAGTGTGAATGTTTGTATGCTTAATCTTATTCCAGAGATCTTATATTGTTTCCACTTTTAAAATTTCATTTTTGTTACTGTTCTCATTGGGTAATTTCCATTATTCTATCTTCCAGATCACTTATTCCTTCTTCAGTGTCAGTTAGTCTGCTATTCATTCCTTCTAGTGTGTGTGTGTTTTTTTTTAACTTCACTCACTGAAATTTTCATTTCTGATTGGGTCTTTTTTATATTTTCCAGTTTCTTATTACATCTTTTTAAAAAAAAAACCACTTTCATCTATTATTTTCCATAATTTGGTTAATATTTTTTAAAAATTTCTAATGATTTGAATTCTTTATGTGGTAAATTGTTTATTTCTGCTTTATTATTTATTTTGGGGGTTTTCTCTTGCTCTTTCAATTGAGAGGAGTTTCTCTCCCTTTTCAATTTGCTTTAACTCTCTCTGCCTCTATGAATTCAGGTGAAACAGTTACCCATTATGGTCTTGAATGGTTGAACATCCCTTTACAGACTGTGTGTGCCCAATGCCTTTGGTGGGAGGGCTGGATTTTACATGACACATGTGATGTCTTTCCTCAGAGAGAGCTGGCAGCTATTACTTTGGTGGGGGGTGGGGGACTGGAGATGGAGGGACTAGAGCTGGAGCCTGGGGTGAGGCAGGGTTCTCCTCTGCTCAGTGGCCATTACTACCCTACCAGGGGTGGGGTCTGATCCCAAGCTGGCTTTGTTTCCTGAAGTTCATGCTTTCCCCTCTCCCAGGACCAGGACCCTGGACCCAGAGTGAAGGAGTGCTGAAGTTCAGGGACTCAGGCAGGCTCTCTGCATGTGTCGGCCACGGATGGAGGGCCAAGCTTCTCCAGCATGCTTCCTGCAGAGGTGCCCACAGCTGTTTGCCTCGCTATGCTCAGGGGCAGCCGTGAGAGCCTCAGGTGCAAGTCCCCACTGTCCGTCACAGCAGAGGACTGTCCCCAGCCTCCGCTGCCCACGCCCTGTTGTAGAGAGGCATCGCGATTCACGCGCTGATTTACCCTGAAAGTCTGTACCATCTGCGTGAATTGTGGTTGACGGGCGGCTGCCAGGGCTCCCGGCTGCTTCTAAAGCACTGCCTAAGCAAGCAACAACGATGGCTACTGCCACCACAGCCGGGCTCTGTCCTACGAGTGGGTCACCTCTGTGTCCCATGGCCAAGTCTTCCGTTGGTCGTGTCTGCCCCACATTCAGAGCTGTGCCGTGACACAGAGTGAGACGGGCGAGTGAGTGCTCGGCTGGGCTGGGGCGCATGTGCAGGCAGTTACCCGTGTGATGCCCGGCAGCCACTAGGACAGACTTCAGTTGGAGAATACTTTGAGTCACATCTTGGGACTATCTATCCTTTCCAACTCCTTATATTTGTACAAATAGCTGCAAAAAAAAAAAAAAAAAACTTGACCGGGTGTCTGTCCTGTTCCCCATAACACACGGCATAAAGGTCAATTTCCTCTGTGCTCTGGACCCTGCCTGGGTCTCCAGCCTTCTCCCATTCTTCCCGTGTTCAGAGACATCCTCTGACTGGGAGTTCTCTTTTTCACACCGCCTTGCCTTTGTTTCAGCATCAGCATCTTCAGCATCACACTGATGCTGAAGCTGAAACACCAATACTTTGGCCACCTGATGCGAAGAACTGACTCTTTTGAAAAGACCCTGATGCTGGGAAAGATTGAAGGTGGGAGAAGGGGAGGACAGAGGTTGAGATGGTTGGATGGCATCAGTGACTCAATGGACATGAGTTTGAGTAAGCTCCAGGGGTTGCTGATGGACAGGGAGGCTTGACGTACTGCAGTCCATGGGGTCGCAGAGTCGGACATGACTGAGTGACTGAACTGACTGACTGCCTTTGTTTCCTCTCTCTGAATGCTCTTTACTCTATCTGGTGCAGACTTTAAGACTTCATAATCATGCCACTTTTCTGGGAAGCATTCTTTGTCTTTAACCCCTGCCAGGCACAGGACATAGCACACAACCTATACCTTACTGTAACTAATCCAGTTTCTTTAGCATTGAGACACTTGAGATAGCTTTACTCCATAACATCCCTCATTCTTCATATGCAATTAGTTATTAAGTCCTGCTATCTCTTTCTATATTATTTTCTATTCCCTCTGTGTAGCACCCAGCCATCACCTCTTGCACTCCTGAGCTTCTCTTCTCTGAGTATTTTGCCACCAGCTCATCCCTGTTGATTCAGCATTCTATGCCTGCACCTATCTTCCTAAAGCATCACTTGGTCAATCCAGCTCCTTTGCTCCAAGGTCTCCAATAGATTTCCTCTCCTTTATGACTGATTCCCTCAGTTGATGTTAAGACTTTCTGTGACTGGACATGACATCTTTCCCAACACCATTGTCCATCACTCCCATCTCATGCATCATTTTAGGCCACCTAAAACACCTCCTAACTTGCTATGTACACATGCTATCACCATGGCCTTGCTCACATGCATCTTAATTGTCTTCCTCATGTTCTTTCCCTTTCTCTGCTTATTTATCCAAATCCAGCTTCCAGAGCAACTGTAAGGGCACTAACCCTTACAACTCCCTGGTGCACTAGCTCATGATCTCTACTCTGATATTTATCACCAACACCCAGCTTGGCTTTATCATAATTCATGCTATGAATTGCATTTATTTGGACAAGTTTATCTCATATGATAGACAGTAAGCCTCAGGAATACTATCTTGGGCTTCTTCTACATGTCCTTGGCATCTTTCAAGGGACCAAGAATACAGTAGGTGTTCAGCAATCATATACACTTTTTAAAAAATATAGAATCTGAAGATGTCAGCTCACCTGAGCTTTAAACAGCCTCTTTCACCATCCCTCTCTCTTGCAGGATTATAGTGACCCAATTTCTAACTGTCATTTTCTAATTATTCACCCAGCCTAATGAATTACAATAGAGTTGTTTAATATTTTAAGAACTGCTTCCCTAGCCATCATCTCGGTGGACCCCCACATGATACTGTATGCAAGATGGAGATCATCAGCTCACTTATAAACAAGCAAATAGAGTCGATACATCACTGGTACAAGTGGGGCCAGACCTCTGTTTTTTGTTTCCAGTGTGATATTCTTTATATCAAAGAAAGCCGTGTCTCTACCTCAAGTTTCTAGAACTTCTCTCTGAAAGTCTAAGAATATATTTTTAAAACATTGATTTTTGTTAAATTGTCTTCATATTTTGCTTTTGGTTTCTCCTGCCTTGTGAAGACACTGCCCTCCCCCCTGATGGCACGCATTCTTTTCCTCTCCTGAATGATGGCCTCACTCCATCCCCTTTGGTTTTCTTTGCCTGAATTTCCACTTAGCCCTGCCACCCCCTGGAGAACCATTCTGGCTTAATGCCTCCTGCATCTTTTCAAATTGTTCTTGTTCCTCAGCTTGGGATTTCCTGCAGGGCTGGCCTTCTCAGCTAATGAAGAGTCTCTAGCTGAAGGCACTGTTCCTGACCAACTTTCCCAATCCTGCTGGGAGGTGGGGGTGGTGGCTGGCAGGAGAGTCAGCATCAGTCCTGCCTTGATACTCTGGGACTGCAGACAGGAGGCTCTGTTCCTGTAGATCTGTGAGCCCTGGAACTTGTAGGTACTTGGTTTGGTTCTGAATGACCCCATTGTCCCATCCCACTCCCACCCCTACACTGTGTCTTTAAAATCCTCCACTTTATCTTTTTCCTAGAGAGTTTATTCACATTGCATTTTTACTTTTTCTACTTTTTCAATGGTGTCACTTTATCATTTGTGAGGGTGGAGCGGAGAGAGTAATAATAATGCCCTAGACTAATCGAGTAGAAGTGACCTTTTATTATGTATTTGAGAGATGCTGGGGTCATCCCTCAACATAATTGCCCATTAAAAAAATGGGTGGGTTTTAAGTTGTCACAATCCTAGTGGCAGATATCTATTATTTCTGTTCCCTCTTCTATCTCTATCAGCCATAAAGGGGAACCGGTAACTAGCCTGGCTGCCTCATGGAACCTTATCTCCTTGGCTATCAGATTGGCTCAAGAGATGCCCATGTGACCCAAACTAGGCCAGCCAGAGCCCTTCCCTAGGAATTTTCAAGCAGAGCTGGCCAGAGGAAGCCAACTTTCCCGCCTGGCTATTGAACCGTCAGGATATGAAGCTGTAGGGGCTGATGCCAAATCCTCAACAATAGCCACTTTGAGGAAATGACATAACACCCGCAGAGAAGTGTAAATAGAGATAGAGAGAAGCTCGTTATTCATGAAGCCAGCTCCCACCGCTGGTTTTTCTGGAGTTGGCTACATGAGCCTGTAAATCAACTTTTACTTAAGCCAGTTTAATTTGTTAATTGCAACCAAGAGAGTACTGCTAATATAACCCCTTCTGTCTGTAACTTGTCTCATTACAGGTCCCAGATGCCTTTGCACAGTCGCTTAGCTGCCCAAGACCAGGTGTCTTCACAAAGCAGCACTGCAATCTCCTAGGGGGTTGATTCCTGTTGGCTTATGAATTGAAAAAGTCCTGCCTGCATGTCCAATGTCCCATTATTGGTAGATAAGGCATAAAATGCATGTGCCCTTGCAAGAATGAGAGCTCCACGAGGCAGGGAATTCTGCCTCCTTTGTTTGCTGATGTGCCCATCTGTCTCCACAGGGTTAGGCATGCAGTGATATGCTTGATGGATATTTGTTGAATGAAAGAAGCAGGGAATGTGGCTGTGTATTGGTTCACAGGGTCACACAGAGGGCTGGGCTGCCACTCTTTCTCCCCAGACATCTTCCATCACTGCCTGTTGCATCTGAATTGAACCTTCTTCTCAGTGTAACCTCAACCTACCTGTCTAGCTTCATCTCTTATACTCCCCAGCTTGCTCAAAATAGGGGCTAAATTACCCCAACCTCAGCCTGTTTCTGCAGCCTCTGTGCCTTTGCCTGGGCCATTCCATCCCTCTGGAGGTCACCTTCTCTTTGCCTTCACAGTCTCGTGTTTTGAACTCACACCTCAAGGCCTGGCTCAGATAGAACTCCTGTCACATGACTGGCCTGTCACGCCCATTCAGAAAGCGGCATGCACTGAGGATGCCTGATAGCACATCTTTCAGCCTTCATCCCCCACAACTCATATTAGTGAGAGCCACTGATGAGCACACCACCCTCCCTGCAGTAGATGCCAGACCCCTGGGTGCAGCTCTTCTGTCTCCCTTTATCAACATCTTTTTCTTCTGTCCCTTCTTCACCCCCAACCACCACCACACTTTCCTACTAACCAAGTTCTAGCACAGTCTCAGGCAAAAATGGAGGCCAGTGAATATTATCATACATGAATAAGTCTGTGCACCTTGGTGCAAACCACTAAGCTCTGGCCTCCCTGGAACAAGCACATGGAATCAGGCTGCAGGGCTCACGTGCAAAATGGGGCTAAAAAATGACAGATTTTGTCACGGCATGGCTGACGACATGCACAGCTAGTGCGAAGTTCTGGCTCATGATGAAGGGCTCAATAAATGCTAGTCATTCTTCTTGCTGGTAGATCTCAGGTACCTAGAAAGCTAGGAGGATGCTCTTCTTCCCATTTCCCATCCAGTCGAGGTCTCTGATATTTACAGTCTGACAATAATTTCCATTTTCTGCCTTCCCACAAATCTACCCACCTCGAGGGGGCCCTCTGTATGGCTGCTTCTTGGTCAGCCAAGCACCCAGCTTCTCCCCTGTGGGAGCCCACCCCTTGTCTTGGTTCCTTCACCTTCTGGGCCAGAGGAAGTGGGAAGGGCAAGGGCAAATGAGGTCCACTGTGGAAGTACCACCAGTCACTTCCCCTACCTGGGCCTGGGAGAGATGGGACAAAACCTGAATGCAAAGCAAGCTGGCGACTTGCATTAAATTCCTTTCGCCACCTGAGCTGCCAACAGTGAGGCCCAAGGAGAAAGTGCAGCAGGTTTGGGAGCTTTCTCCTATTTTCCCCTCCTCACATATATACAGTTGGCTCTGGGGCCTCCACTTCTCTCGCTGAACCCCAAACAGCTCCCAAGGCTAATGATGTGATGGTGCTCTGAGACAGAGTTCGCTCTCTTCGTTTCTTTTTGTGTCTGCGGTTCTCTCTCGGTCTCTGGCTCTTCACCACCTGTCTTACTCAATGAATCTGTATTTTTTTTCTCTCTAGCTCATATCTCTGTGATCCTAGCTTTTTCTTTTCTGTTGGTTCTCCAGCTCTCCCTTCATTGTCTGTTTCTGCCTGTCTCCCTCATCCTGACTCTCCCGACTGCCCGCCTCCCCACGAGCATCTCAGCTTTCCAGCTCTCCTCCCTGCCATGATGCCGCAGTGGTGAGAAGGGGCCCATCGATCTGTCACAGACAGGTTCTGCCAACCTCGACTACCTCTCTCCCGCTGCTGGCAATTATCTGGAGGTTGGCACAGGGCCCGGAAACTGCCGCTTGCACCGCCTCCCGGCTCAGGACCTGCTCCTCCACGCCAGCCCCCTTGGAGGACTGCTTGGTGCCGTGCCCAGGATGTGACAACCTGTAAAGGTCACACATATACTCCAAAGAAGATGGACCGCTCTACGAGTGGAATTGACATTGGGCAGATTTGCAAATGTCCCTCCAGACTTTCCAACCTTTCACAGTGATGAGAAATGAGCAGCTAAAATAGAAACTGTAAGTTGCGCAGAGTGCCTCCACCACGTGTGTGCACACACACAAGACACACACCGCTGCACCTTAACATAGTATATGATCAAGTTTTTAATTTCTTTGTTTCTTTTCTTAAAAAGTAGAATTTTAATCTACCTGATTTGAAACATTGTAGCTAATTCACCCACATGACTTCACTCGAAGCTGACAGCGTTTGGTACCCCCAGGCTGGGAGAGGATCTTGCAGTGACAGGATGCCGTGGAGTTCTGTAAACTCCATCACGGTGATGACCTCCATTTCCCTCTGAGAAGCCAGTGGGATTTCAGAGTTGACAGGGACTGGTGAGACTCTTTAGGCCAAGTCCCTCATTTTGCAACTGGGAAATTTGAGTTCCGGTGAGACTGAGGAAGTTACCCAAAGTCAGCCAGCTAGTAGGTAGAAAAGGCCAGATAGGAATTCAGATTTTCTGGCTCTAGACAAGGCCCCACGTTACTGTTCACCCTGTGCCCCTGCTGGGGAACCCTGGTACCCATTGGCCTTTAATGAGGGAACTCACCCTCCAGAAAGACAAATGATTCTGCCCAGGTCGCTCGGTTATTAGGTGTTCGAATTCTAATGTCTTCTAGTATTCTCATTTATTTAAAAATATGTTCTCCCAAGCAGTCAGATAACCTCATGAAGCATCCTGGTTATCAGCGATATTGAGCAAAGGCCAGGCAGAGCTCGTACCTTGGGCTGCTTGAGCCTGCTCAGCTCTGCTCAGCTCAGCTGGTTCTGGGCACAGATACACCTTTCATCAAATCTAAAGCAAAGTCCTGTCATAAAGAGCTTACTCTGTTCAACGAGCCTTGCGCTGAGGGCTGGCGTGTGTCATGAGTTCACTGCAAGGCAGGCACCTCCCGCCCCGCCATGGGCCCTGTGTTTCGTTATCTCACTGGGGACCTTTGTGCCTGGGGGTTAGTGGCTCCCCTGTCGCCAGAGTCTGCTCACAGCGGGGGTTTACCTACAGGCTCTGTGGTGCTGCCTCACTCAGCAGGTGGAAGGCCCAAGAGGAGGCAGAAGTTCGCTAAAAAGATGACTGAAGGGCAACAGAAAGTGAAAGTTTTTGTTGTTGTGTCGTGTCCTACTCTCTGTGATCCCATCGACTGTAGCCCACCAGGCTCCTCTGTCCACGGAATTTTTCAGTCAAGAATAGAATACTGGAGTAGGTAGCCATGTCTTCTCCAGGGGATCTTCCCAACCCTGGGAATGAACCTGGGTTGCCGGCACTGCAGGCAGATTCTTCACCACCTCAGACACACATCTAGCTATGACCAGATTGTGGCTCACTATTGTGTTAAGTGTCAGGCGGTGGGTTGAATGAGCTTGGTTGTTCCCTGTGTCCTTTTGTTAATAATAAAAGCTGTCATTTACAGAGCCTCTACAATGCACCAAACACTATGTCAGAGGCTTCACGTGAACTGTATCCCTTAATTCTCACCCTTAATTCTGTTCACCCCCACGAGGTCGGGGCCAGCATCAGAGTCTGCTTCCCTGAGGCTGAGGCCACCTGACTGCTGGCTGAGGGAGCAGAGTGTGGAGTTCAGTCTTTCTGAAAAGGCGTCTCACCACTATCCTACTGCTCCCTAGGGTGCCCTGTTTAGAGGGAACCCAGGTGAGAGAGAACCCAGATTCACCGCAGTGAATTTGCAATCTGTGGCTCGTGGGAAGGAGAGGACGGCAGAGCCACTCTGCAAGCAGAGCAGATGGGGCTGTTTATTTGGAGATGCGGGGACTTCCCAGCTCCCAAGGGCGTTCTGTATCACAGCACATCATAAAAGTGGGCACTTATCAGACATGATCACCATGAGGGACGTGGAAAGTTAACACATGTTCAGCATGTTTTGTTTTAGAAGGGGAGGGATAATGTACTGAGTGCTTAGGTGACAGCTGGCTCTCTGCCTCATCTGTAATTCACAAAAATCTGTGAATTAGGCATTTTCCCATTTTGAAAGGGAGGAAATTCAAGTCCAACGATGTTAAAAACAAACTGGGAAATTTGAGTTCCGGTGAGACTGAGGAAGTTACCCAAAGTCAGCCAGCTAGTAGGTAGAAAAGGCCAGATAGGAATTCAGATTTTCTGGCTCTAGACAAGGCCCCACGTTACTGTTCACCCTGTGCCCCTGCTGGGGAACCCTGGTACCCATTGGCCTTTAATGAGGGAACTCACCCTCCAGAAAGACAAATGATTCTGCCCAGGTCGCTCGGTTATTAGGTGTTCGAATTCTAATGTCTTCTAGTATTCTCATTTATTTAAAAATATGTTCTCCCAAGCAGTCAGATAACCTCATGAAGCATCCTGGTTATCAGCGATATTGAGCAAAGGCCAGGCAGAGCTCGTACCTTGGGCTGCTTGAGCCTGCTCAGCTCTGCTCAGCTCAGCTGGTTCTGGGCACAGATACACCTTTCATCAAATCTAAAGCAAAGTCCTGTCATAAAGAGCTTACTCTGTTCAACGAGCCTTGTGCTGAGGGCTGGCGTGTGTCATGAGTTCACTGCAAGGCAGGCACCTCCCGCCCCGCCATGGGCCCCGTGTTTCGTTATCTCACTGGGGACCTTTGTGCCTGGGGGTTAGTGGCTCCCCTGTCGCCAGAGTCTGCTCACAGCGGGGGTTTACCTACAGGCTCTGTGGTGCTGCCTCACTCAGCAGGTGGAAGGCCCAAGAGGAGGCAGAAGTTCGCTAAAAAGATGACTGAAGGGCAACAGAAAGTGAAAGTTTTTGTTGTTGTGTCGTGTCCTACTCTCTGTGATCCCATCGACTGTAGCCCACCAGGCTCCTCTGTCCACGGAATTTTTCAGTCAAGAATAGAATACTGGAGTAGGTAGCCATGTCTTCTCCAGGGGATCTTCCCAACCCTGGGAATGAACCTGGGTTGCCGGCACTGCAGGCAGATTCTTCACCACCTCAGA